ATAATTATATATAAAATATGTCCATTTACATACAAATATATAAAATTATATATAAAATATTTTTTCCGGGTAAATATTTATACTTGAAAATTTTTAAATAAATACATTACAGTTATTAACCTTCAGTACCCACAAAGGGTTAGTATAACCTCTCCGATTTTCATAGTTCAGACGTTTTTTCCGATTCCTTTTCACTTATTGCAAAATATTTTTTGTGCTATTGTGACATTGTGACATTTTAGACTTTCTAACTCAAAAATTCTTTTTTTCAGTCTTCAAACGATAGGTTAAAAAAATTAGTTAAAATCGATGCATTACAATCTGAGATACAAGCAAAAAAAAAACGCTAGATTACAAATACCCGGATGTGAGTAGGGACTTTTTTGAGATGTAGGTGCTGAAGGTTAACTATCTTATGAAAAATCATCAAATATCAATTATTATATATCAAAGTAAAAGATTAAGTTCTTACCCATAAACCACCATTAATATTCCTTCGAAAGCATATTTGAAGAATGATATGTCAAATAGCCAAACAAAGTAGGGATTCACGTCTTTAGTATGTACAAAAAAACCACTGAGCACAACGAACGGCATAATTGCAAATGGTCCAAAAATTACGCTATTCTGAAATAAAATACCAATTTACAAATTGTACAATAGATGAATTGTATTTTCTTAAGTCTTTTCCTCAGTGTTCTTTTTTCAATTCTCTTAAAATAAAAATAGATACAAAAAATACATATAATCATTAATATAAATAATATAATTGGAATTAAATGAATAAAATAAATTACAAACCTGGATCTTTAGCGAACACCCTATAATGAATCCAATCGTTTGACCAACTAGACTGATAACGAAACACATGAGCATGTACAATCCAAATCTTCTGCTTTCAGGAAGCTGACCACTCATGTAATATACTATGATTGTATAAATAAACGTAGAAGTAAGTTGGATCAGAAAATCGGCCACTTTGCCCGCTAAATAATACGATCGTAATTTGTACCAACGATTGAAGTGCTCACGTTTTAATATCGGTAATTCCAAAGGAACTGCAAAACAAACAAAAATATATGTGAATTTGACGTTGTATTTCAGAGAACATTGCGCGTATTGGATCATAAAATTATTACTTAACCTTTAAAAAATTAAACCTTAACCGGGGGAGAGCGGTTTCAAAAGAAAGAGCATTTTGTGATAACTTTTTTGTTCTTTTTTCAAATGTTCTGTTTAAATGTTAAATTTGAATAATTCGATAAACTTTGTTCAGTATTTTATTATTTTTCTGATATTGAAATTTACATTTTATTTCAATTTTGTCTGAAAAATAATAGGGACTACTGAGGTCCAATTGAGTACATAGCTAATACTTTCTACCCGGTTATGGGTTAATAAAATCAAATGTCAAAATTATTAATAAAATATAACACATTCATTTTAATATTAATTTTTAATATTAATTTTAGTTAAAATAAACTAATTTTATTATTTACTTATAAAATTAAATTTTTTTTCTATCTATTTTTCAT